CCAAATCCGTCAAAAAAGAAAGGTATGTTTATGTTGAGGTACATTTTTGTGTCTGATTTGGTAACTTAAATTATTATTATTTTTTTTTAATGGCGGGCATTTGGAACTATTGTCCATTGGCCACAGAAAGTGCCAGAACTGCTAACTCTCTTTTCGTTACCCAGTGGGCACCTGTGGCGAAGCCACGACGGTGGAGCAGCGTCACCCACGTCGCACTACCACAGCCCATTTATAGGGCGGGTCACATTCACACACAAAGGAGAAAGGACATAGAACACAGATAGAGAGAAAGAAACATCCATGCCTTGCCCGGGATTCAAACCCAGAACCTTTCTGATGCAAGGACAGTTTCCCTGCCTCCTACACAGTCCGGTCGGCTAACTTAAATTATAGTCTGCACCAATTAATTAATTATCATATTTAAGGTTAGATTCACTAACCACTAAAATTAAGTTAGTGTAAGTTAAAATTTGGTCATTGGCTAAAATCTTATTGAAGTGCTGACCATTTTTTAGCACTGTACTTCTTTTTAGCATTGTACTTTTGTTGTACACTGTACGTTGATGTATATATATATTCATTTTGTAGTGTATCTGTTACGATGAAACACCGAAATCTGGTGAATGTCGACATTCACCGGTGAATGTCAACATTCACGTAGTCGCTTGGTGTATGTCCGAAATATTTGCTAAATACCCTTATTTCTGACTCTCACCGGTGAATGTCAACAATCACATAGTCGCTTTGGTGAATGTCCGAAACATTTGTTATATCCAATTTTATATTAATTTATTCGTTAATATTATTATATTTATTTAATATATTTATATTTATTCTATATTTTAATACTTACTGACGATAGATTAGAAGAAACATCAGTGTTTGGAGTATCGGGCAAATATATATCGAGCAATGGCACTTATTGACCTTAAAAAAACATCAGTGTATGGTACACCGGGCAAATGTATACCGGGCAGTGGCACTTAACCTTAAAAAAACATGAGTGTAGGGTATACCGGGCAAATGTATACTGGGCAGTGGCACTTAGCCTTAAAAAAACATCAGTGTAGGGTATACCGGGCAGTGGCACTTAACCTTAACAAACATCAGTGTAGGGTTAAAATATCGAATAAATGTAATTATATCCACGAATAAATTCAAATCAAATCGAATGTAATAAATATTTCGGACATTCACCAAAGCATATCTGTGATTGTCGAGATACACCGGTGAGGGTCCGAATGTTCAAGAATGTAAAGAAATATTCGATCTTTCACCGACGTATTTGGTGTTTGTCGACATTCACCGGTGAAAGTCAACAACCACCGATTTCGGTCTTTCACCGTGACATATCTACCACTACAAATATGCAATTCCAATTCATTAGTATATAAGACATGTCAACTGGATTCTATGTTAGGGTACCTTTTCATAGATGAAGGTTGACATTGTCGAAAACAACCCGTCCCTCAATTTATTTCTCATTTTGAGATCTTTTCTTTTAAACTTGTTAGTTGACTGAATATTCATGCAACTAAATCTTAATTTTCATTCAATCTAGCCAAAATAAATCAAGTTACAGACTATTTTAATGGAATAGGATTATTTCGAAAAAATTTGGCTTCACTAAGAAAATTAAATCTTTTACATATTGTTTGTGTTATTGTGCTCAGGGAAATATATTTGTGTTAACTGTAACATGTTAACAAATAACTTAAACTGGAGAAAGGCACAATACAGAGTCTGGTCACAGGTACTATAAACGTACATTTTTTGATTTGGTTAGGCCTAACAAAGTGAAATATTATTTTTTTTAAAAAGTATTTCATCTTTAATAGAATAACATTTTGGTAACCAACCTTGTAACTGTTTTAAGAAGCGAGAACTGTTGAGTTTTATTTTCCAATCAAATTTATTGAAAAAAATATACTTAGCAACAAAAAAAAATCAAAAAATGCTTTCCAGCAAATGCCTGGAAAACATGAAATAATCAACAGCAACCAGTATTTGTTGTTATAGGTATCAACTATCTTTATTGGGTGCCTCAAATAATGGGAAAATCGCAAAAACACCCTATAGATTTTAACGTCACGCAGGTAAACAACTACAAAAGATGTTACAAACTTGTGCTACATAATCCTTTTGTAATGACAAGAGGATTGATTTAATTAATTATTAAAAGAGTTGTTCAATGTGCATTCGCTGATTGCACAATCTACAACGACTTAAAAACGATTCCTAGATGTGCTCGAAGATATGACAAAGATGCCAGGTGCTATTTTGATGTCTACCCGAAGCGACAACAATCCACACTATGAAATCCACCGGTGTGTCCATAGGTGTCGCATAAATTAGTGATTTTTGGTAATCCCATAGGAGAAATTGCAAGGATTGAGATCCGGGGAACGCGGAGGCCGTGTGAAGGATTTTATGCGTCCCGATTACGTTTTTCGTGATTCTAACCCTTTCGATGTAGTTTGTGACCTAATGTTCCGAGGCAAGGTTTCCTCTTCTTAAGAAGACGCCGCAACTTCTTTTTCGTCGCAACTTCTCTTTTACCTCCATCATGACAAATTGAAAATTTAAAGTATAGAAAAAGTGAGTTCGGACAAACCTAGAGTTAGCCATGAAGTTTCAAATACGAAAAGAAATTTTTCAAATATCAAAATGAAAATAAATTGGGAGAAGATAACTTAGGATTACGCAATGAAGAAGTTCTCTTCCAATAATTTGTTTGCATTTTCAGGGTACGTAGTGCTTTTAAAAAATGCTTAAAGGTGCTTATTTTTAGATTTACGTTTTTTAAAAGCCCATAAAGGTGCTTTTTTTCATTCTGGGTTTGTAAAAGGTGCTTAATTTTCTATCTTTTAAAAAGAGATTTTTTCTTTGTCGCGTAAATTATCGTTCTAAATTGCAAAAAATGCATGTTTTTTCACATTCTCTGCGATATTTATCAGTAACTAGTTATTTTATCATGATTATGTAAAGTTTTTGAATTTTATTGATTTTATGTTTATAAATTGAGAACTTTAAATGACAGGGAAAAAAATTATTAATGCACATATCCTAATTATGATTTTTTTGAAAGTGATTACAAATGTTTTTTTAGTGCTTAGAAAGCACTTAAAAGGTGCTTATTTTTTGTTGTTCAGCTATTGAAACTTCATGGTTTACTCTAGGTTTGCCTGAACTAATTTTTCTCTTTTAAATTTAGAATTAGTAATAGAGGTGGAAGAGAATTTACGAAGAAAAGTTTCTCTCACGGTATGGCGTCCTCTTAAGAGTTTCATCATCTCTCTGAATTTTGGAACATCCTTTCTAATAATGATAACCCCAATAACTTTATATGACGACGCCAATGTTTTCAGACAGCATATTTTATAACAAAATACTAAATAAATAAATAAAAATCAAAAAGACTAACATTTTACAATGCTTTTCCGACTCTATGATTCTAGAGATCAGTAAATATTAACACTGTTATGTTTTAATGTCTTTTCGTGGTTTATCAATATTTGTAAAGTTTCTAAATTTAATATCCCTAATACACGTGAGGTAAAAGTCATGCAAATATTTTGTGTATATTCAACGTTTTTAAGACAAAACGCAAAATGTTTTCATCATTAAATTGAAGTATTTTGTTATTTGAAATGAATGAGGTTTGTTTAAGTTTGTTTTGTAGAACATAGAAAATATAAAAAATTAACCGATGCTACGTTTCATGTAGCTGTCCTTAGTTTTAGCTTAACACGTTTGTTGTTCTACTTTCTGAAAAAGTTCTACTACTTTCTGTTAAGTACATGTTTGTTCATCTGCTGCTTTAGTAACGATTTTGAAATATTGATTTATTACAACTTTTACTCTCTGCAGAAAAGCTCTTTTTTTTCTACAAAAATCCAGTTTGTTGTTACACTATCATTTTTCTTGGAGCCTATCATTTTTCATAGAGCTTTATGTTAATATTAAGCTCATTGATCATTTACTGTTACATATATGGACAAATTTTATTGTATTTTGAATCATAACAACGCGTATAATTTTTACGAAATCCTTAAAAGCGTTTTAAAAATTATTTATTATGAAAATTTTCAGTTTGTTAAATAAAACAGCATTAGCGGGTATAGCATTTTTTCTAAAAGATAAATTTTTTTTAATGTATCAAGTTAGGAAACATAACTGTACCAACTGTGTAAATCTTTATCTGCGATCTGAAAGGGATTTAAAATAAATTAAATAGTTAAAAAGTTTTTTTTTTTATAAATTAATTATATCAGTTTGTATTTCCCCTTTTCGTTTATTGCTGTTATGGGCATTTAAAAAGAATAGTCATTCAAAAATTGAAACTTCTTATAGCGCTTGTTTATAAATATTTAAAAATCTTTTATCTTTTTTCGAACAGTAAAAAAAAGTATGAACTTTGTGTATCAAACATCGTACGCCCAAGTAACTCCACTTTATATGTTTTATGGAACAAAAATAATTTATTCTAAAGAAATTACATAAACTTGAGCTGCTTTTTAAAAAGCTACTGGTGTTTTTTAAAAACGGAAGTCAAAGCTAAGAATCAGTTTTGATGATAAGAAAACGTAATGGAAGCTCTTATTAATCTTATTATTAAGACATTTTAGTACAACAGTTTTATTCATCCGACCTGCTTCTCTTTTTCACAGTTTTTTTTTTAGCTCTTTTTTTTTTAGTTGGAAAGCTGTACTTAAAAAAACCAATAATCCTCACAATTTTCTCCATAAAATCTACGTATGATAAAATAAGCTTAAAATTATGAGTAAACCAAGTTAAATTTACGAGCGACGCAATTTAAATCATTTTAGCTATAAAATTTTACTATATTTGATACAAAATCTTTGACATATAGTTCGCTTCTTTTCAAATGTTTTTTTTTTATTTTTTTATTACTATTATAAGAATATGCTGTTTACCTTTTTAAAGAAATCATTGATCTTCAAGATTCCGCTATGTTGTTTGCATTTTTGAAGAAATCATTGAACTTGAAGATTCCACTATGTTGCTTACATTTTTGAAGAAATCATTCATCTTCAAAATTCTACTCCTACATTGCGTATTTGAAATAAAAGCGGATATTAAGAATCTATGAACCCATCTAGACAGATGAAAAAAAGACGCCAAGAAAATAATTTTGTTTTTTTACCATACATTTGCTATCTTATGCAACTTTCTGGTTATTTTCCGATTAAGTCGATTTCAACTAAGAAAGAAACTCTATCATCAAAAGCTCTACTATTTTATTCAAGCCTGCTTCTTCTTTTGGATACTTTTTTCTTTCTCGGAAGTACAGTTGATATTCTGAATGAAATTACGGACCCTCAAGACTCTGTTCATTTTACATATCAAGGTATTTATTTAATAACTTTATTCCAAGGCATCGCCAATCAGCTGTTATCGATTATTAATTGGAAAAGTCTAGCAAAGGTATTAAGAACATTTAATACTGTTTCAAGGAACTGTTATTCGGAACGCAATGATCAAAAATGTTTGTTGATAACGCTATTTTCAATTTCAACAATTTTTACGATTATGATGACCTATACAAATAATAGTGTTAACATTCATGGTAATTTTACTTCATTATCCATCGATTCCTTTATTCTGGAAAATGCATTGCTACCAGGATCATTATATGAGGATTCAGCAGCAGTTACATTGGTTTTTATATTACAAAGTATAGTTATATTTCACTGTTTCTCAATATCTTTAATAGCGAACAATTGGATAAGTATTGTTTCTAACACTCTATCCAAATCAATTAAGAATTCTAAAGCTGGACTTTTGAATATTGGCTGCTGCAAAAGTGATAGTAAGTATGAAAAACAATTTTGGGTATGGATCTCAAATTATAGTCAGCTTAACTTAATTTCGAGAAATATTATAAAGGAATTTTCATTACCATTGTGCATAATAACAATTTGTAATCCTCTTTTGTTTTGTCTAAACATGTACTGGTTCCTCCATGATTTTAAAAGCGGTGGTATCAAACTACTTTTCCCAGGATTTGTAACAATACTTCAACTTGCAAGACTTGCTTTTCTCTGCATTAAAGGAAGTGATTTCTTAAAAGAGGTATGGACCTTAAAACTGATATTTTGGGGTGGTATTTTATATAAAACCGTTTATAGTTTTAGCTCACTTTTTTATAGCACGTATTTGTAATTTATTACGAAAATATTAAAAAGTACATTAAGGTAAAGAACTCAAATTATAAGCAACTTAATTTGATATCATCTTTTATTTCGCTTTGACATGCATTAAAAATAAAATTAATAAGATTCCAGATTTCTCAAACTAACAAGCAAATCTATTTAACTAATCATATTTATTTTTAACTTCAACGCAAGAAAAATTGTGCAAAAGTTTTAAGTAAATAATTTGCATTAAAAATAATTTCAAGGCAGTCATTACATATGTCCTTAAAATCAAATATAATCAGTTATAAATTTTTTCTCTTTAATTTTATAGTTGATATTATTTTTGTCTTATCTGTTACTTTCAATTTGATTTTGTAAGCATGACGAGTTTGTTTTGTAAAAATAGTGAAAATTAAAGTTTACTTTTACATTATTTTAGCGCCTTCTAAGAATAATAAAAGTATTAAAAATCTGCTCTTTTTAATACTATAAGATGTTAGCTTTTAAATTTTGCTCAACCAAAAATGTTTTAAAGTAGAATAATTCGAGATCCTAAACGTGTCTAATTTAACAAAAAAAAAATAATAATAATAACTAAATAAATAAAATAAAAGGAAAGAAAGAAAAGAAAATGGAATAAATAAATAAATAAGAGTGGAAAATAATGTTTTTTTGGAAAATGCGTTATTATTGGGTACTGCGTAACAACCAACCTTAATATTCATTTCTAGAATCCTTGTCAGAAGTGATGTAAAAAAGCCATAGAGTTGATATAGTAGGTAGAGGAACCAAGTCCGCTTTATTTCTTCCGAATAGACACGCCACAGATAGCAAGCAAAGANGCTCAACCAAAAATGTTTTAAAGTAGAATAATTCGAGATCCTAAACGTGTCTAATTTAACAAAAAAAAAATAATAATAATAACTAAATAAATAAAATAAAAGGAAAGAAAGAAAAGAAAATGGAATAAATAAATAAATAAGAGTGGAAAATAATGTTTTTTTGGAAAATGCGTTATTATTGGGTACTGCGTAACAACCAACCTTAATATTCATTTCTAGAATCCTTGTCAGAAGTGATGTAAAAAAGCATACGCATTAAGGACATTAAGTACACACATTAAGTGCACACATAATATCGGATATATATCGGATTATATATTTAACCTTAAAAAAGAGGATATAGAAATATATTAAATCACTATTGAGGAAAGCAAGGTTGATAACATTAAAACTGTTTCAGTGCCGAAAGAAACACAGATAAGTTACAATGCGATTATTAGAAACACCTCCAAGTTTTATCAGGCATTCAAATTTCTTTTGATGTTTCTCATAGCCTTTTCTTCATTAGTGATTAGTCTCCCTCACCAGTATAATTGTACGACTTCTTATGTATTCACCTTTTTTTACTTCATTTTTTGAAAGTAATTCTAAAAATAAATTTCAAAAGCGGTCATTACAGAACACCCCGTATAAATAACGGCTTTTCGGAATCAGAAATTCAAAACCATTGACTAAAATTTGTTTACTCTAAGAAAGTTCTATTTTGTGTCTGATTCCGTAAAACTATTTTCAGCACTACTATTATTACTGTAAATACTTTCGGCACTGATTAATTAGTATACTATTTTAGTATACTATCTCAAACTATTAATATACTAGTATAGTATTTCAAACTATTAAACTTGCATCTTAGTACGTAAAAATCCAATCATGAGAATTAAAGTTATTTTGCGCATTGTGCCTTGGTGCGAAATAAAAAACGGAACTTTTAATCCTAATAATCAGATTCTTATCTATCAGTACTCAATCTAATTAATTATTGCAGTCGATATTTTAAGTTACGAAATCAGACACAAAAACGTATTTTCTCTGAATAAACAGGAGGAATTTTTGACCTTTAATAAATGGAGGGATGTATCCGCAATCGGAAAAATAGGGTCCCACAAAGTTTGGTCAGGGGAATGGTTGAAAGTTTGGACCCCTTAATGTTCATTTNTAATCAGATTCTTATCTATCAGTACTCAATCTAATTAATTAGTGCAGTCGATATTTTACGTTACGAAATCAGACACAAAAACGTATTTTCTCTGAATAAACAGGAGGAATTTTTGACCTTTAATAAATGGAGGGATGTATCCGTAATCGGAAAAATAGGGTCCCACAAAGTTTGGTCAGGAGAGTTAATGTTATTTTTACGTTTTGCGTATTTCGCCTATCTCGAGAACTTTTCAAGCGAATCGAAATTTTTTTGCTCTCAATTATAAAATTCGTTTATCCAAAGATAATTCTATGCAAAAATATATTTATAATTACTCATTATTTTTTATTAATGTATTTATCAATAGTCGAAAGAAATTTGAACAGTATGGCATACAAATACTTCCATCATTTTAAAGTAGGTTATTTTGAATGACGACATCGATCGAATAGGTCTCGAGATAACTCCCAAATTATTGTCTGGATATGTAATTGTTAAAAAAAAAGTCTGTTTTTTAAATCTATTTTCCTACACACAACAGGCAAATATTTTAATTTTTGCTCTCACATTTTTCAATAACAATGTGCATTACTTCGTTTATATTTTAGACATAAAAAATCGTTACTTTTTCGCATTGTACTCGCTACTTTTTACTTGTTACTTTTTACTTGTTACTTTTTACTTGTTCCTTTTTACTCGTTAAATTTTAAAAGTAACGCGTGATTCTGTCATCCTCTAAGCTGTAATGTAAACCGAATATTACTTAAGAAAACACTTGAAGAATGATTTTCTCTTATCGTTGAAGGTCGTATTTATATATTTCAAGGTTTCACGTCACGAGCGCTAAGTTATGTCATTAATAAATTTCTTTTTTTTTTCTTCCACAACAATATCTATTTACTTTCTCTTTCGTTATAAAACCCAAGAAGGTTCTTTTTTTCTTAAGCATTCTCGGAATTTTTTTACCCTCACGAGTCTAGAAGGAAGTAATTATTCTGAACATTTCATATCGCTTTCACTTACTTAGTTAAGGAAACATACAAAAAACAATTCTACAAATAAGTGTTGCTTTATTGTAACATGACATTAAATTGTGATAATGACATAAAATTAAAATTATCTGATGTAGACCTGAAAATTTAAATTTTCAGTTAGTAGCCAATGGCCGGTGGACTCAAACCCTTTGACGCAAAAGCTTTATCAAACATATTTTTTCATTATTTTGTGCTAATTTAGAACAAGGTGAAGAATTATATTATAGATTGGTGGTGATAGAAGGTGAAGATTATTTATAATTTTTATAACTTATAATTATGAAATACAACATGAAACATCAGTGTATTTTCCTGTGTTAAAGGTAAAATCTTCCAAACATGGCTCACTTTCAAAGAATAATTTTTCCAAATTGCGCTTATTTGGAGTTATTTGGATCAAAGAAAAACAATTATTCACCCTTGAAATTTCATTAATTTTCGAAATCAATTATTGATACATTTTCGAATATGAATGGAGAAAAAAAATTCCAACTACTTTTCTTGGATTTTATATATTAGTACAAATATAATTCCGATAATCTAACAAGTTTTTCTTAGAAATGAGGCTATTTTTTTATAATTAAAAAATACCAAAATATATTTTTGCTTATAATAAGAGAGTCAGAAAAAAATATATAAAAGGGACACCGGTATCTTATATGCGTGAATATTGACTTCTAAGTTATTAGCCCTAGGACTAATAACTCAGTAGTCATTTTTTCATCGAAACTATTGAGTCGGTGACCGATATCGATAGGTCTTTTTCATTTAATAACCACTTTTTACAAACTTGGTTAGATTAAATTAGAAAAAAAAAACATATTCGATATAATCAACGACTACGTGACAAAATTTAGTTAAACGTACTGACTTTGAAGAACTATATTTAAAAGTACTTGGGGAGAAAAATATATTTAATGTATATGTTACGATGAAAGTAATTAAATGGTGATTATATATAATAATCGGTAATGATGCATAATCACCACAAAATTTGGTAAATGGTTAAAATTTCGAAAAGTTTCGAAAATTTATCAAATTAACCGGTTTGTTTGCATAATTCCTAATGATAAATGTGATAAATATCGTGACTGTTTGGGCCAGTAGAATAGAGTGCAGTCTTTTTTTAGTAGTTACTACTCAGAAAGATATTTTTTCGTTGAACACTATGGCGTAAGAAACCACGAATTACAATATTTTATATTTTACAATTAAAAAGTCAATAAATGGTTATTTTAAGTCACTTGAGAAAAATTTTAATAAGGGCCTGACAGGTGTTGTGAAACGAAAAAAAATGCATAATTTACATGAACTTGTACAAGAGAGATTTTTTTTTTTCAAATAGCGTTAAATGTTATTACTGCAAATTACTAAATATTTTAAGTTTACTTATTTAAGCATATTAGACTGTTATGATATTTAAAATTATAAAGTTTGCCAGATCTTTTACATTGTCCCTTACAAACACATCGCTAATATCCTAGATAATATTGCTAAATTGCATCGCTAAATAATATTGCTAGATCTGGAACACCGTCCAGCAAAATTATTTTTTCTTCACAAATTGTGAATTGATTTCAAAGTATACAACTTCCTTGTTTCGTTCCTAACTGATAAAACTTTTCATTTTGAACTTCTAATATTACTGTGAATAAATTTCGAGGCCAAGCAGTTGCGCAAACTGAACGAATTTTCGTAAAGTTAGGGACTTTTATCACATTTACCATTACGAGTAAGGAATTATGCAAACAAACCGGCTAATTTGATAAATTTTCAAAAATTTATCATATTTACCAAATTTAGTGGTGATTATGCATTGTGTTCTGTATTCAACGCTCTAAATATACATTTTTAAAATCATTGTCAAAAATGAAGGAAATAAATAGGCCCAATAAGGATCGCAAATTAATATTGAAGCAATAATTAAAAACCGACGAGTTACTTTTGAAGGACGCTGGATTAGAAACATTATAACTCGTTTGATAACTCTGATTGAAACTTGAAGGTACTTCTAACAGCGACATTTTATCTCCATTTTGTTTTCACCGGCAATTGAACTGATCAATTAAACTGATTTTGATGTTTTTTCAACTCGTCTGCCTCGTTAATGTTTTTATAGTGAAATTTGGGGAGGAGGGGTAAAAAACATCAAAGCTAATTTGATTACCGAATGAATCTTGAAGGGGCGTCTTATAGTCATATTTCAACTCCTTGTCTTTTTTTAAGTAATTAACTGGTTTTGATGTTTTTCTACGTCTTTCTCGTTAATGTTTTCAATGAAATTTAGGATGGTGAGATTAAAAACATCAAAACATTTAAAGATGCTTTTAATAGTTGCATTTAATCTTTGTTAAGTTTCCACCGACAACTAAGCTGGTTTCGATGTTTTCAAATCATTTTTCTCATTATAATGTTTCATACTGAACTTGAGTGGGGCAGAATTAAAAGTATCATATTTGATTCGATTGCCGGGTGAAACTTAAAGGTTCTTTTAAGAGTCGCGTTTAATTTCTGTTCAGTTTCCACCCGCAATGATTTTATGTTTTTCAACTCACCTTCTACATTAATCTTTCATCAGATTTCGCAAATATTTTTGTTGGCCTAAATGTTAACTTATGACCCCCAATGTGTATAGTTTTTCATAAAGATATGTTTAAAAAGCAATTGAGAAACACTTATTTAAATGTTTGAAAATAAATAATTTCGTACTAATTTTTTTAAACTTCCTATGAAGTTATTTTGGAAAGTTAAAAAATAATTATTATTTTTTCACGAAATTAGCATTATTTATTTTTCGAATACCAGTGAGAAAAAGCAATTTCCACTGACGATAACATAGAAGTTTTCAGTTTTTTTTTTTTTTTAGAAAATAAATTGTTAAATTTTTTATTTGAAATATTGTAGAATAATAATTTCTTTAAAGGTTAATAGTTTGATATTAGATGCTCAGAAGTTGGATGCCTCTGAATTGACACCCGTCATGAAATACCAGGTAAAAAAAACTTCTTTCTTACAACAATGCATTTAAAAAAAAATTCTTTCACATACTGCACTGCAACTGCTTCATATTTATAAATGAAAGTTCTTATCTATTCGAAGTTCAAGCGCAACGGTAAAATATAAAACAATATATATTTAAAATATATAATTTAAATAATACATATATTCCTTGTAGAAAAAATATAAGATTTCATATAACTTAGCTCTAATAATCGATTTTTGGTGCCAATCTTAATTATTCAAAGGGTTGAACTTATCAATTAATGAAATTAAAATACAGTGACGCAAGTTTTAAACAGCTCTCTTACCTAAACAAGATAGATCACAGATTGCGGCTTCCCGCTATATATTGATGGTCAAAAAACTGCAGAAAAAAGAGTGCTTTATTAAGAGAAAGTGCGAAAGTTTTTAGTCTAATTAAAATATTTGCCTCTTTAATTAATTAGTATAATGGCGGTCACACCTTTGAACCCTTAAGATAAGCTTTTACATTTTTTTGTAAATTTATATCCGTCGCTGAACAGTAGACCCAGATTTTGGGCTTGCAACTACTAATGTTCAACCTCGTAGCCTTGTAATTTTGAACCAATCCAGAACACAAGGAAACTCTTGGATCCCTAGAGGTATGGTTTGTTATGGGAACATGGATGACTCTAAAGATTTAACGCGCATCAGTCACCATTTACTACACTGGGGAGTCTTCGGACAGCGGGGATCGAACCCACGACCCGTTGGACATTGCTTTAAGTCAGATTTTGGCTACGCATAAAGCGTAATTCTGAGTAGTTCAATTTTGAGCGTAGTCTTTATTTCTTCCACTAATCACTTTGGCTACGCAACTTAATACACAGACAACAGTTAATGTTCAAATTTACTCAAGTAATTGAATTTATTCTTATTATAGCTTTAAATTTTTAATCTTATTACTTATTTAAAATTTTCACATTATTCTATGTCTCAAAATTAAAAACTAATAACTTAAAACTACAGCAGTTTGTAGGTCCCATAAAATTTTCTTTAATATTATTATGTCTCCACATCAAAAAGTTTAAGAAATTCTATTCTAGATAATTAGTTTCGCGCATTACTTTCAGAAAACTTTTTTTTCCTCTTGATATAGGATAGTAAAAACTTCAATCAAGTAATCTTGAATAGCAAAAATTTTTAAAAATCCTATTTTTAATAACTACGAAATGAAACTATATCAGTAAAACATAAATTTAGGTAATTATTGATTTTATATTGAATTATTGATAATTATTAAATTTAGGTAAACATTGTATTATAATATGTGAATTGAACTGAAAAACGCAGAAAGAAGATAAATAATTCCACATAAACAGACATTCTATTGTTTCGGTTATTTAAAGAAAAACCTTCTTCTGTTACGAAAAGCAAAATGAAAGTGACTCCCTCCTTTGCTTGTAGTTTTCTTCTACATTTCTGTGTTTCCTTCTTTTGCTCAGTGTTTCGACACTAAAGAAGATTCGAAATTATGGAAACGAAGTTATAGTATGCGAATAAAGTAGAAATTAAACTGTTGTTTCCTAATAATACTTGGACAAGACTAGATCGCCAGCCACAAGCCTTTTGCGAATTAAGTCAAGAAAGTGTGCCTTTCGTTTGACAAGAGAGCACCTCATAGGTTAAAGTACCTCGTAGCTCAGAACACCACGAATAGATAGCAGCACCACTCATTCGTGAGACCACTTCCTCAATTTAGACATAAATCTGAAGGGGAAGTGAATTTTCTCCATATCCCTGTATACAATTGTACTGCTCAGCAAACAACCACAGGCCATTAGATTCCACACATTTCACGAGCACGTATATTGCATGTAGTCGGTGGATCTTAGCAGATCGAACCCCGGTCCCTCCGGACCGGAGTCCGATTCTCTAGCCTCTGGTCTAAGACGGCCCTGAAAATGAAGTATATGAATTAAGCTAGAAAAGTATACCATAGTAAAGTATACTCTTCTAGTTTTATTCATATGAAACACTAATTTGTAAAATTCCAGAACAGTAATTTATTATTAAGTTATTATTGACGTAACGTTATTTAAAAATAAATTAGCCTAAAATTAGAAACTGTGATGATTTTTTTGAGCACACAAATATTATTTGAAGGTATAATTATTTAAAATATATTTTGGTTTTTCAGTTGAAGACAATTTTCATTCGTGAAGGAACAGATCCCGTTTATCTCACTGCAGGAAAGTTATTTCCCATCACAAAAAGTTTCTTTCTTAGTGTAAGTATAATCGTCAGTAATAAGCCAAAACCACGTATCGATAAATTGGACGATTTTTCACTTCAAAGCATGTTTGTTGCGTTTTAATTGCCTTTTAGAAGAGTTTCTAATAAGCGCATTTCTACTTCACTGGTTTTCCTCCGGCAACCAAACAGGTTTTAATGCTTTAAGTCCAGGCTCCCTCAATAGTGATTAATTAAATTTCAATATGAGCGACTAATTAATTTTGTAAGCTGACTGTTTAAAAAAATCGTAACGGAAAAACAGTTGCGGTTAAGGAAAAATCTTTACAGCAAATTCTTAGCACAGAGAGGTAATCTTAACTCTGAGTTCTTAGTTATAATTTAAAGATTTCGACATTTCAAATCCAGTTTATCGGGGATTTTTTTCTTTGCTTTTTAGTGTAAGCAAATTCAGTCCTCCAACTATATGGTAGACATTTCTAATATGCCGTAATGCGATTTTTCATTCATCGAAAAAGTTCTGAAATTTGTGATATGATTTTCAATTCATTTTCCTTAAATTACAGGTTTACTACATGCAGCACCATCTGTCGAAATTCTTTTAAACTGAATACAGAAACTCTGGGTGAAAATGTTTATAACCTTTCACATGACTCAGTTGGGCATTCAGTTTGGGCATTGCTCATAAAGTATATTAAATAACATAAAAGGCTAAAAAGCAAGAAATATTTTTAGCTACATGCAGTAAAAAATTCTACGAGTGTTAAAAAATTTTTTTCAGCACACTTAACTAACACAATTTGAACTAGAATAATATCATGGCAATACTATTTCCCGCCAGAGGTCCTCCTAGTCATTAGCATTTGGTAATCAAAGCTAAAACGTTTTAAATTTCTTTCTGGTTTATCTATTGGAAATCTTATGATAAATTTGACTAATTCAATAACTTGTACATGAGCAAAATAATAATTTTTTTCTTCTTCCAGAATTCCATCTATCACTATGAGTTCAGAATAAAAAAACATCATGATTACATTAAAAATAGTTTAAGCATAGCTGTATATGAAATATGCCTGTAAAAATATAAGATTCTACGTAAATAATATTTTGAATTGCGTAAACGGCAAAGTAAGCAAAAAATTGAAACTATTTTATTTAATGTATTCATGAAGTATGACTTTCTGAATAATTGATTTCACTTTCAATTCTTATAATATGATTTTAACTTATCACATCGAAGTTATATGTGCCAATGAACTAAAACTAAGATCTGAATTTAATTAAAATAGATACATATCCTTATATCGTATAGCAACAAAACTCTATCAGGTAAATAGCCTTATTATCCGAACGTTGTTTAGTGAAGCGGCTATTAGATGTTGTTGTTGTACAGTTCATTTGGGCTATTGGTGACACAATGGGCTATTGGCTACTGTCTGGGAAAAACCCCTGATGATGATCCGAAGACATGTCATCACAATTTTGATCCTCTGCAGAGGGGATGGCACCCCCGCTTCGGTAGCCCGACGACCTGCACTTGAAATCGAGCACTTTACGATAGAACAGTTTAACGAGGACCAATACCGCACACCCTCGGTCCCTACGCAGACTAATCCAAGTGGTCACCACCCGCACACTGACCGCAGCCAGTGATGCTTGACTTCGGCGATCGGCTGCGAACCGTGTCTTAACGATAAATCCAATGCGGGACGCAGCGACTATTAGAAACGTTGTGCTTATTATTCAAATTTCCCAAAAATTATTTGAAAAAATGATTTAAGAAAAATGAATAAGAAATATCGGTTTGCTATGGCAACTAGACGATTTACTCCCATCAATTTTCATAATTAGTTAAAAGATAGCACTGACAACTAAATAAATTGTAAAACAATATTTTTAAAATAACCAGTAATTGAGAACAGTGTAGAGTAGTTTGAATACAAAATTTACAGATGTTCGTTTAAATATTTCATTTTGAATGATTTGACTTAAAAAGAAAACATTGTTTTATAATTTATTTAGTTAGCAGCGGTATCTGTTGACGAACTTTCTATCTAAATTTCCCACTTGTTTGTAAGAATAAGAAACTTGATCAGAAATTGCTTCCTTAAGCAGAATGCAGTAAACCATACTAACATAAAAAAAAAGAAATAAAAAATAAAAAAAAAGAGGAAAAATAACACCAAGAATAACTTTTGCTCTCATGATTGTATTTTCACAAACTAAGTGCCAATTTTAATGTGTCAAAAATTTGATTTCAAATAGGCTAATTAATTAGGGGTTATTCAGTTACAGAACCAGACATAAAGCATACTTAAAAAACAACACGTTTTTTCGTCGGATTAGCGGTTTTCACTGATAAAATATGTGAGTTAGCTTTAAACTAAAAAATATGGCCGTAATAGTTAAGTCAAAAAAGCGAAGGAAAAGTTGGACCCTTTACTGTTAAAATTCATGTTTTACCTTTTTGGGCTTTTCTTAGACATGTTATATCAGATCGAAATTTTTTATCGCTCAATTCTTTAATGCTTTCACTGGAAGATGATTCCGTGTAAAAATATTTTTTTCATAATTAGTTCTTTTTTTTCCCATTTAACTTTAATTGAAAAAGTTTTGAATTGTAAGGTATAGAAATCATTTTACAATATATAATTTAAATGGCAAAATGCAAAGTTAAAAAGAAATCGGAAAAAAAGCATCTGGGTTATAAAAATTTTATAACCGTTCATATTTTGTAAGTTTTCTTTCTCAAGATTTGAGGGATTTCTTTCAAATTTCGTATATTGTCGCTTGAAATTAAATAGCTTAAAATGATGTAAAAATATTTCATTCTAGAGTTGTAGCTAAAGACGTAAGAAGTGAGATTGGCATTAAACTTTCTAAACGAAAGGGTCTAAATTAAAAATAAAACTAAAACGCAAAAACTAAACTATACTCAGTGGCGCGACAGCCCATAGAGGGCCAAGGCCTTCTGTACCCATCTCAGTTGTCTTGACCTTGGGCTCTAGGGTGCAGAGCAGATGTTCCGGTCAGGTGGTCAGCCGAACGCGGAACTCCCAGTGTTTAGTTCCCAAGCATGCTTGGTACTCATTTATCGACCCACTGAAGGGATGAAAGGCTGAGTCAGCCTTGCCCGGCCCGAGGATCGAACCAGGGACCTGTGACACGACAGCGCTCAGCCACTGGGCGTCAAACGTAAGAACTAAAGGGTCGATAAAAAATTTTCATCCGCTCTCTTCTCTTTACTGGAAATATATTTCCCACATAGTGGCTAAACACCATATTTATCTAAAATTCAAATTCGTCGAATAAAAAAAGATGTCTTTATACGTTTTTGTCTCAGATACAGTACCTAAATTTATAATTAGCACTAATTATTAGCATTTTGACGTCAACCTTTAACCTCAAAAAATTGGCACTTAGTACCTAAACATTTGATCATTAGATACGTTTACGATCGATAGTAATTACACCGATCACGCTTTTGTGTCAGATATAATACCTAAATTTAAAGTTAGCACTAATTAATTAGCAAATTTGAGATCAGCCTTTAGGATCTCTAAAGTTGGCACTTAGCATCTAAACATTCGATACGTTTACGATCGATCGTAATTACGTCGATTACGTATACGTTTTTGTGTCTGATACCGTATCTAAATTTATAGTTAGCACTAATTAATTAGTATATTTGATGTCACTCCTTCGAACCTTTAAAATTGAGTCATAGAATGGGAGATCATTAGATCAAAATTTATTCAGGGTAGACTGTTTTTTATTTTGTACACAGTACATGTCAGCATTATTCTTTCTAAGATAACGATGTGGGTTAGTTATTATTCCAATGATATCAAAACATAGTGTTATGATGATTAAATTATTGTACTATGTTTTCATATCATTGGAATTATTTATTTAATTATTAATATATATTTGGTCAAATCAATCTCAATCTAGGAAGAATTTATTTTTTTTTTAGATTGAAGATTTTTTTTATTTTATTGTTTAGTACATGTTTCATCTGTTACAGTTTTTTTTCTTTCTTTTCTTTCAGATAATGGGGACAGTGTTCACTGTTGTCGTAGTCTTCGTTCAAATAGCTCCGCAGAAACTTACATGCTAAATAATTTTATAAAAATCTTTTGATTATCAATAAAAACACACTTGCTTTTTTTGTAATGCTTCATTTGTCTGATTCTTAAAAATAACTAATTATCGTTAATTAATTTTAATTATTTAATTATAATTAAATATTTACATAAATTAAACTATTATTATTAAATAGAATAAGAATATATTTTTATCAGTGTGAACAAGAATGGTGAAATGATGAATCACACGGAAATCAACTAAATGAGACTCAAAATTTTCAGGAATGAAACTTTTATAACCGTCGTAAAACAGCCGACCCAATTTTATGGGTTTACGACTACTAATGTTCAACTCCGTAGCTTTCTAATTTTGAACGCAATCCAGAAGACATGGGAAAAATTTGCCTTCGTGGAGGACTTCTTGATGGAGCTAACCCGCATTTGTGTTACATGGAGAGGAAGACCAAGAGAACCTTCCACGGTTAACCTAACGGCAAGGGGACTCCAACCCACGATCCGTCTACCACTGAGGTTGTTTCACGTCAGCATTGTGGTCGGTGCAAGCCGGATGCGGAATTCGTATCGACTGGGATTCGAGCCCGATTCGCCTCATTGGAAGGCGAATGCTCTATCCCCTGAGCCATCGCGACTCTTTCAGGAATAAAACTGTAAAATTGACCAAAAAAATAAAAAAAAAAATCAAGAAAAGGAGCTCCTGCTGTTAAAATAATACAAGCCTAGTCATTGCATCTCTAATTATGGAGAAAAAAAATGCATGTCAAATTGCACAACACATTCTCTTTAATTTCAGAACCTGAATTGCATTTTTTTAAAAAATGATAACATATTTTTGACACGATTCGTTACAAATATCGTGACACGTCTCCCAATGATTTGGCCCATGTTCGAATCCCAGCAGTGGCCGGTTGATAAGAATTCTATCTCGGCTTGCACCTACCACAATACTCACTTATAATATCCTCAGTGGTAGACGAATCATGGGCCATAATCCACTTACCATCCGTGGGAGGTTTTCAGGGTTTTTCCCCCCGTGTAACGAAAATACAGATTACTTCCATCAAAAAGTTCATCACGATGTCCAGTTTGTTCCAATGTTTGATCCAGGAATTCCCTTGTCTTCCGGCATCAGCTCAAATTTACAAAACAATGGAATTGAACATTGACAATCGTAAACTCAGAATTGGGTGAGCTGCTCTCAACGCCGGTTTAAAAATAAAATAAGAGTATGCGCAATAAGCATATTTCTAACGAATCAATTTCTTCTACGCATACAAGAAATTAATGCTGACCACTTATTATTACAAACAATAAAGTTATTTAACATAAATTTATAATTAACAAACAATAATTTACTATAAAATTATTTAACAACGCATAAATTTATAATGAATATTTAAGATTAATACATGATTTATTTCTGTCAATCTAAATACGAGGAAAAAAAATTTGAAACAAATTCAATATTAGTTCACTGATAAAGGTAAGAGATTATGTTTTTAAACCGAACATGCATCGAACACTACGCTGAAGTACCAATAATATATATTAAAACACGTATCTAATCGTACTCATGGAGGAATCAATTATAACATGCTATATCGTCGCGCTAACCGTGAGTTGTTCTTGTCGCTGGCCTTTGTTTTTAACACAATCGAAAGTTCAACAAAACACTGCTCTATGTCAGGTTATAAATAACATGGAGAAGATAGTATTTTCGTCCTGAACCTTGACGCAATTCCTTTGTCTTCTGAATTAATNTCCGAGGGTACTGCGTTTTTTAAATGAATCAAATATGACGTTTGCCAGTTCCACAATCAAGCTAATGATATACAGAGGTTTCTGCACAAAAATCTGAAAGGGGTTTTTCATTTAGGTAGATGTTCATAATTGCGTTTAACGCTTCTTGTTTAAGACCAGTACGTATTTTTTTTTTTTGTAAGTTTATTGCTAAAAAGTCCCTTTCAACCTCTGCAGTAGGGGAGACAGAGAAAACATCAATTCCACCAAGCGCAGTATGTTGCTGTATTTCTAGATTAGAGGGTAATTTTAGAAGTGAGGCGCTAGACTCTAGTAAGATAACAAAAATTGAAAATGTATCACCAACATTAACGGGAAAATGGCCGTCCTCGCGGACGTCGGATTCGAGAAATTCGTTGTCCGCGGGGAATTTTTGACCGCCGAGGACGGGCGGACGGGTGGTTTTTCGAGCCCTGTTTTAAACCGAACATGCATCGAACACTACGCTGAAGTACCAATAACATATATTAAAACACGTATCTAATCGTACTCATGGAGGAGTCAATTATAACATGCTATATCGTCGCGCTAACCGTGAGTTGTTCTTGTCGCTGGTCTTTGCTTTTAACACAATCGAAAGTTCAACAAAACACTGCTCTATGTCAGGTTATAAATAACATGGAGAAGATAGTATTTTCGTCCTGAACCTTGACGCAATTCCTTTGTCTTCTGAATTAATGTTAGAGGTTTCGAGTAATACATCTGTACATCAGCTATGTATGAAGCGAATGATCATCATTTAAAAGAAAAAAAATGCATTCATAATTTTTTAAATTCTTTAAATATTAATAAAATTGTAGTTTTGTAGCACAAAATTTTAGGCTTAACAAGGATTATCATTTAAAAAAAGTTTTTATTTGAAGATGTTTTCCAAAATAAAAATACAGTCAAACCCCGTTATAGTGAACATGCCTTATAGTGAACTCCCGGATATAGTGACCACTTCCGTGCCTTTCTATACACTTATAATATTATTCTTTGTGGATATAGTGAACCAAAAGAAGAAAGGAAAATAGATATTAAGAACTTTTTCTGTCTCCGACTGATTTTTTTCCGTCATTTTTTGGTAATTTTGAAATTTTTACATAAAATACGTATACCGATTTTTAAAACCATCTATTTAGATGAATGAAGCCATAAGCATTATTTTCTTGTTTGCTTCTTCTATCTCAGTTTCCAATTCCTAAATAAAAGCCATCCCTAAATTTTTGATACGCAAGACGAAGAACATATTTTTTTCCAACATATTGTTTTTTAATCGTTATTGTATTTCTTTTTATTGGTAATTTACTTAAATAATGTGTAATAAAAGGGAGCAGTTCGGAAAAATGAGTTAAAATTGTTTGCAGTACGGATATAGTGAACACTCGGTTATAGTGAACAGAAATTTCGGTCCCTTGATGATTCACTATAGCGGGGTTTGACTGTATAATCCTATTTTAGAATATTTTTAGGATCCTTGTCGAGAATACAGAAAAAAATAACTATATGCATGAGACATTGGTAATTAATGTTAGAGCTAGGAAGAAACAAAAACGCTCTTAAAATCGCTACTGAGGAAGCGGAACTAAAAATATCAGAATCTATTAAATTTTCGGAGATGAGAGAAAAAAGTTAATTGGCGATTTTTAGAAACGCGCCCGAGTTAGATCAGGCAATCAGACTGGTTTTGGTTTCCTCCCGCTCTTCTCGATAGTGAATCGACAGGTTTCAAAGTCGTTTTTGGTGTTTCCTCGCTTAAATATCAGTTCACAATCCCCAATTTTTAAACTTTTTGACATTTTTACTAAACAGAAACTCAAAAAGTAAAAAATAAAATCATTGCGGAATACTAAACTCGCACATCATTGAAACATACACCTTAAAATAAAAAATTTACATAAAATATATCTTTTGTAAGTAAATTTTAATACAACTCAAATTTTATTATAAGGGGTATTCCTAATAAATTATAATAAAAGATTAAATAGCATCCCAATGTGCGACCAGTATAAAGTTGATACATTCAAGAAAGATTCTTGATTTTACAAAATAATATAGTGAAAATAAATAGTATTAATGTACACAATTAATTCTCAACTGGCATCCCGAAGTTTTATTACTTATAAATATAAATAATGATTTTAAAAATTTCTTAACGAAATATTAATAAATATTGAAAATAAGAGCCATCATTTTCAGACGATAATAAAAAATCATTTCTGGGAGATTAAAACTCACATTTATACACCTGACCTAGTTCTGGCAAACGATCTCGCTCTCGTCTGACCTAGTTTCAGAGACATTGATCTTGCCTCGGCAGTCCCTGGAACGATGAGAGGGGTGGAGGAAGGGGGAGCAGTGGTGGAAGAGACAGAAGGAATGCTTAAAATACTCTCTACTCAATGGAGAGAAAAAAGAAACAAAGCAAGTGCAAGGGTACGATGTTGCTGTAATCGCAAACGGGGGATGAACGCTGGCGTTGATATGAATGAGAGAGAAAGTTTCTGTTTTTTTCTCTTCGTTTTATCTTAGCTTCCGGGTTTCTAAATAATTTTATTTACCGCTATAGTTGCTGCTATGTTTACGGAAATATATTGAACGACGTAAATATTTTTTTAATTCTGAAAGTAAACAAGGACATTAATCCATTTGCTAATAATTATTTATTTATTGCTTTATGCTTTTCCAGCAAACGATTATGAACACAAAAACTGGTGCAGTAAGAACAATAGAAAATTACAGCAAACGATAAATAAAGCGTTCGGCTTCCAAAACCGCCAGAATCACTTTAATATATATATATTATATATATATATTGAGCTTTCCATGGACGAGAGGTTAACTGGAAGCTGAGAGACGTAACATAAAGCCGCACCAGTACCGTGCTTGTAACTGTATTTTGTTTTGATGGCATGTGAAAATACAATTAAATAAACTTATTAAATCAAAAGATTCAAAAATCTAAACAATCAACGTCCCCTTCTTCCGCGGACGGCTGTAAAATTATCAAACGTTGACCGTTCCGTGGCAATGAAAAGGTTGAGCAGCACTTTGTGTTCAACTCTTAACTACGTAATTTTAAGCCCAACTCTCAAACAACAACCGATTAATTCGGAGATGGGCATTCATCGTCTCCCAATAAGGGGACACAGGTTCGAATCCCAGTTCGCACCGCTATTTATGAAGAAAAAATGCATGCTGAAATACACAATGCATTGTCTTTACTTTCGGCCTAAATTACATATTTTTTTAACATGATTTATTTCAACTATGCTCGCCATGC